GGTAGGGGGTAGGGGGACCCTGCACATTCTTCACCGGGAAACAGAAACAGCTGTGGGAGGCCCCACCCCCTCCCAAAGTTGGAGATGGATCGTGGGGTCCCTCCCCAGCTCCCCCCACCGAAGTCGACTGCTCTCTGGAAGGTGCCCTCCACTCTCCGCTCAGAGGGAAAGGGAAGGGCCAGCACCCAGGCCTCCGGGTCCTCCATCCCGTCCCTCTGTGCCTCAGTGTCCACGCTCTGCCCGTGTCTCCCCCCCAGCCGGCTCCCTCTCGCTTTGTCCCCGGGACCTCCGCCTTCCTCGCCCCTCCATCCCCCTCCCTCTGCCCCTCGGCTCCCAGGCTGACTTGAGGTGGTGGTGGGGCGGTCTCTCCCCCCTCCATCGACAGGCAAAGCTAAGGCCTGGCATCAGGGAGGGGGCGGTGTCGGGCGGGCGGGAGGAAGGAGCGGAGAAGCGCTAAATATAAACTCCTCTGATGTTGGGGCTTCTTTGGTCCCTCCAGGCGGGTCGGAACCTGCTCTGATCCCGAACCCTTATCTTAGGAAGCTCACACCCCCCCCACCCGGCCCCCACCAACACATGCTCTCTGCAGCAAGAAAAACTCAAGTCAGACTTGCCTTGATTACTTTCTCATCGGCTCGTGATGGCCATGCCAGCTAATGATTAAGATGAAGGGTATGGAGGGGGTGGGGGAGGAGCCTTCCCAGTCCTGTCCTCTCTCAAGAAGGGAACGGTTGTGTGTGGCCAGAGCTTCCTGCTTGGGGCAAATCCAACTCAGGTTGGGGGTTCCAGCAAGAAAGACTGAAGTTAGACTTACGGAAGCACTACCTAACAGAGGAAGGACATTGGATAGACTAGGGCAGGTGAGATTAGGTCGGCGGATCAGGGGTTTTTTAGGTCCAATGGTCTCCAGGGCCTGGAATAACCCGTGGAGGTTTACAAAAATAGTAGGAAGGGCATGTATGCCAGCAGGGAGGGCTGGTTTAGGGCAAGAATCTTCCGGTTCATTTCAAACATTCGACCCTTTGCAGCTAGTAGAAATGAGGTTAGACTTGCACTTGGGGCTGGGTGGAGGTAGACTGAGGCAGCTAGGAGGAAGTGGGTTCAGGCCTTGGGTGAAGGCGTCTCCCACCTGCCTGACCCCCTCATTTCTGCTCTTCCCTGCAGCCAAAGAACTGAAATGAACCCTCAAATACCCCCTGCTGGCATCCATAGCAGCCCTATAGGACAATGGTAGAACTGCCCTGTGGGTTTCTGAGATCTTAACTCTTTAGGAAAATAGAAAGCCTCCTCCTCCCACGGGTCCACTGGTGGTTTTGAACTGCTGACCTTAAGGTTAGCAGCTTAGTGGGTAACCAGTATGCCCCTGAACCCAAAACTCCAGAAAGCTTTCGCGCTTTCATTTTGTTGGTGGTTTTTTTAAATCATTTTATTGGGGGGGGGGCCACGCTTTCATTTTAATGACTCGATTTTACCTTTTCTTTATGAGAGACTCAGAGCTTTCGTGTAATCTGAAAAGTTTGCATTTATTAAGTACTTCCAAGAAGCTGCTTTTCATGACTCATCCGATCTACACAAGCACGCTGTACCAGAGGGGGTACATGATGAAACTGAGCCCCCCCACAGGTAAAGCCACTAGCCCAAGTCACACAACTGGGGCTGGGGCCGAGCTGGGATTTGGACCTAGCTGGTTCGACCACTCAGCCACTAGTTAGAGGAATATTTAGCCGTTTGAACCCACCCATGAATTAGCTACACAAGAGAAAAGACCTTAAAGCAGTGGTTCTCAACCTTCCTAATTCTGCAACCCTTTCATACAGTTCCTCATGTTGTGGTGACACATCCTCCCTCCCCCCACCAACCATAAAGTTATTTTCGTTGCTACTTCATCATTTTGCTACTGTGATGAACCGATGACCCCGGAATCAGGCAACCGCTGCGAAAGGGTCGTTCAACCCCCAAAGGGGTCTCGACCCACAGCTTGAGAACCGGTGCCTTAAAGCCATCTTCCATAAAGATTGTTTAAAACTCCAAATTCACTGTCATCAACTCACTTCAACCCTACAGGGCAGAGTGCCCCGGTGGGTTTCCAACGGTGTAAATCTTTTTTATTTTTTTTAATCATTTTATTGGGGGACAGTGCAAATCTTTATGGCAGTAGAAAGCCTCATCTTTCCCCTGCAGAGCAGCTGGTAGTTTCGAACAGCTGACCTTGGCAGTTAGTAGCCCCATGAACAACCTAGCAGGCCACCAGGGCTCCTTCCATAAGACTGCAACCTACAAAACACTATGTGACAGTGCCATCACTTCTACTCTGTCACGTGGGGTTAGGTATGAGTAGAATTGACTCCCTGGTGCCCAACCACAATTTGGCTTTAAAGCCATGCCTCCCTAAACACTTTCCTCCCTCTCCGATTTGATCTCATCGACACCCCCACCCCCACCACCACCAAGGCCAACGCCAGACTGATTCCAGTGCGTTGGCTCACAAAAACAGTTTACATACCGAGGCATGTAGAGGTTGGCTTGACTTTTCTTTTTTTTTTTAATTCCGGTTTCTTGGGTGAGGTCCCAGAAAGGGATGCCAAATGATTCTTCAAGTGTGGCTCCTGAACAGGCTGCATCAGAGCCCCCCGTGGGAACTTGTTCCAAATGGAAACTCTTGCTTGCTGCCCTCCTCCGCCCCCACCCCCATCCAGACCCCAGGCAGAAACTGAAAGTCAGTCCCCGCCTGGCCGTCTGGGTTTTCACAAACATCCAGGTGTTCCCTTTTCCTAGCTGCCCTGCGTCCCATTGTAGAGGCAATTCTTCCGTCAGAGATGTACCTGGGTACTTATTTTGTGCCAGGCAACTGTCTGGGCACATGGGCCAAGACTCACTCACTGCCATGCAGTCAGTGCTGACTCAGTGACCCTATAGGACAGAGCAGAACTGCCCCTGGCGAGTTCTGAGACGCTAACTCTTTATGGGAATCAAAAGACTCATCTTTCTCCTCTGGAGCGGCTAATGGTTTCGAACTGCTGAACTTGTGGTTAGCAGTCCAATGTGTGACCCACTATGCCAGCGGGGCTCCACTTGAAACAAAGAAGTGGAGGGAGACACTCCTGGAGAGAGAGACGAGACACAAATAACAATTGATACATACTGTTAAACCAGGGGTGGGGCCCTGGTGCCTTCGTGGTTACCCACTGAACTGCTAACCACCAACGAGGTCAGCAGTTCGAAACCACCAGGCTTCCTGCAGGAAAACGGGTGAGGCTTGCTACTCCTGTGAAGAGCAAAGTCTCAGAAACCCACAAGGGCGGTTCTACCCTGTTGTATAGGATCACGATGAGTCAGTATTGACTCGGTGCCAGTGAGTTCTGTTAAGCCGGGAAGTCATGACTGCTTTGTAGAGCATACCAACTCCCAAACCCCTTGCCGTGGGGTCCACTCTAACTCATAGTGATGGAAGCTTTAAATCCTCACAACCTCAGCTTTTTTCCAAGGAGCGCCTGGCAGATTTGAACTGCCAACCTTGTTGTTAGCGGCCCAGTGCCACCAGGCCCCCAGGAAACACAGGGAGTTATTTTAGATCAGGTGCTCAGAGAAGGAGATGCCTGGTTGGTATAAACGGTGTGACTATTCGCCTAAAGGTTGGGCAGTTCGAACCTACCGAGTGGCACTGTGGGAGAAGACTGAACTCTGGACAAAGGACCCCCTGGAATAGTTCTACTTCGTAACAAGGGGTGTCCACGAGTTGGACTTGGCTCCGCAGTCCCCAGGTTGGGTTTGCGTTTGGTCAGAAAAGGGACTGTGTGAGCAGGGAACTAAAATGAGCAAGGAAGACCGGTCTCTCTCGGAGGGACAGCGGTAGACAGCCAATGCAAAGGCCCTGGGGTAGGAGTATGCGTGGCCTGTTGTTCAGGGACCTGTAAGGAAGCCACTGTGGTCGGAGTCCCGTGAGCAAGGGATCAATGATAAGTGTACAAACAATGTGGGTACACAGGGATCACTTTGACCAGCAAAAAGCCAGGCCAGCAGCTCCTATCTTTTTAGACGCTTGCTTCCGAGGCGGCAGGGTCCGACTGCTTTCCCGGGTTTCCACTGCAGGACGGAGCTTCTTGGCAGCCCCGTCTGCAGCCCGAATCAGACTGCTGTTGACTTTCCTGGCATACGCAGGGCCAGAGGGGGGCTTCAGTTCTGGGATAGAGTAGGGGGAGGGTCTGGAGAGCTGGGGAGGCGGGGCTGCAGAGGAGCCTGCCTGTTTTTCTGCCCTAAATAGGCAAAGCTGGGCGCCTGCCGTCCAGCTCCTCCCCCTTCCCTCCCTCCCTGTCCAGACAAGCAGCTTTTGTCTGAGGGTCAACCAACAACCGTCAGCCTGAGGCTGTGGCCACCTCTGGCCTCCCCTAGACCCCTGGGAAACTCTTCCTGGCCCAGGGCCTGTTTTCCAAAAAGGGGTTAAGTCCCTCCTCTTGTCTTAGAGACAGACCCTCCCCACCGTGTCCTTCCAGCTCTCACTCCCAGACTCCATAACCGCCACTCTCCTCACAAGATTTTCACCCCAGTTATGCACACCTGATCAAAAATGGTCTTTTTCTGCAGCAAGAAGGCTACCGGGTAGACCGATGGGTATTTTTCATCGTGATGAGTGAGGGACAGTGGGCAGACCCTGGGAGCTTCTGGGTTTGAATGGAGCTAGTGCTGGAGGTGAATGTGGCCGCTGGAAGTAAAGGGGCCTGTTAGGGGGCATGCAGATAGACACACGCACACACATGCCCTCCTTGCAGCAATACTCTTAAGGCTAGACTCACAGAAGGACTTCCCAGTAGGGAGAGGGAATTGTGAGGGAAGGAGCAAAGAAATGTGTGCGCTGGGTCAGCCCTGTGTTATCCATTTGAGAGAAAGGGTCTCTGCAGCAAAAAAAAAAAAACTTCAGGGAGACTAGCAGAAGGACTTTCTAATGGTGGCATTGTTCATCCTTACCATTGGTAGTGTCTGTCAGGGCGTTGGGGTATCAGAGAAGGCAGGGGTCAAGGACCGAGAGAAGGCACAGCCTAAGGGATCTGCTGGATCCTAGGTACCACTTTTAGCCATGAACTGCTCTTACAGCAAGAGGATCTTAAGTTACATTCAAAGAGGGACTTTCTAATGGGGTTAAAGGGCTGTTAGCACAGGTAAGGGAAACTGCTAATGGGGATGGCCCAAGGGATGATCCTCCATTATATCTAAGGGGAACTGGGATGGGACTACAGCAGGAAGCACTGGCGTTAGCAGCCAGAAGCACTTTCTAAGGCCGTTCAAAGAACCCAATCGTGAGAGGAGGCCTGGGACTCAAGTACCACGTTCATCCTCTTGAAGTCAAAAGTGAGACTCTGCCCATGAACCCATGGGATGGGCAGGGACAGGGGTGGTGGGACAGACAACAGGCAGAGGGTTGGGATGCTTCTGATCAATCTGTGCTCCCTGTGTCCCCAGGAGGCCCTGCCTGGGCTCATCTGGGACCTCGGCCAGCAGCTGGGAGACCTCAGCCTGGAGTCTGGGGGACTGGAGCAGGAGAGTGGGCGCAGCTCAGGTGAGCACAGGTGGAGGGGCTGCCTGAGACACTAATCTCACCCACTGTCTCCCATCTCTCTGGCTCCTCCTCTCTCTGCCCCACCCCTCTCCCTCTCGCTCCCTTCCCTTGCCCCATGGTCCTCCTCTCTCCCTGTCCCCTTGTCCTCTCAGCCTCTCAAATCCAGGTCCTCCAATGATTTTCTCTCCCCTTCTCTCTGGTCCAGGCTTCTACGAAGACCCCAGTTCTACTGGCGCTCCGGACTCGCCACCTTCAACCTTCTGTGGGGACAGTGGCTTCTCTGGATCTGGCTCCTATGGACGCCTGGGTCCTTCTGAACCCCGGGGCATCTATGCCAGTGAGCGACCCAAGTCCCTAGGTAAGGTGGGTGGGGGTGGGACCCTGAGGGACAGGACAGTCAAGGCAGATGAAGGTGTTCAGTCTACAATCTAACGAGACCCACCCATCTGAATTCGAATACCGGCCGAGCTCTCTCTCGGCCTGCGTGTGGTATTTATCCCCAGCATGTCCCTTCTTTCTGGCCTGGAGTTCTTCATCCGTGACAATGGGATCCTAACAGGACCTACCTTGTAGGGAAGTTCTGAGTTTGCAGGGCACCTCTGCCCTAAGACACTGGACCAGACATGGTAACCACCCAGTACATAAGAACTGCTTTTGCTCATTTGCATAAGTAAGTTATATGCTAAGGTCCCCTGGGTGGCATAGACAGATGACTGTGTGTGCTTGAAAACTATCCTAAAGGCTGGGAAGGTTCAAAGTCATCTGGCCACGCAGCGGAAGAAAGGCCTGGTGGTCAGTTTTCTGCTCTGTAAAAGCCTGTGGTTGCCATGAGTGGGAATTAGCTCCGTTTGAGGTTACTGTGCCTGGAAACCCTATAGGGCACAGCTGGGGGAGGGGGGGCACTTCAAAAATGTCATGGACAAAAGGAATGCTCACCCCCCCCCAAAAAAAACTTTTTGAAGCCCCCAGGTAAGGGTCTCTGAGTTAGAACCATCTTAATGGACACACAAGAAGCAGTCTCCTAAGGATGGCCTAAACAATATCAACAACTTTTATACGGCCGACACTGTAGTAGGAGAACTCTTCGTGATGAAGGAAGACGATAGGGACACACGCTGAGAAAAGAAGGAACCAAGGAAAGAGGCTAGAGAGAGTGGCCATGTGAGGAGGCAGGGCTGGAGGAGTCTTTACTCAGGGCAAGGGTCCTTTGGAGCAGTTATCCTAAGTCAAGGGGAGGAGCCAGCCCAATGGATATGCTGGGGGTAGCTTGTTCCAGGTGGTGCTAACAGCAAGCGCAAAGGCCTTGAGGTTGCAGGTGTGTGACTGGTATGTATACACAGGGGCAAATTCGAGAGTGGCCAGCGTGGCTGGTGTCCTGCGATCCCACATACCTAGATACAGGAGGAGGTGGGCTTTGGGGAGATGGATCTTGAAGGGGCTTGTAGGCTACTGTCAAGATTTTGTGAGGAACCCAATAGGGATGAAGGAATAGGTCCGAAAGCACCCAACTCACTGCACTGCCAACGGAGTGGATACTAGCTCACAGCGACTCTATAGGACAGGGTAAAACGGTCCCTGCGGATTTCAGAGGCTGTCGAAAGTAGAAAGCCCATTCTCCAGCAAAACAGCTGGTGGCTTTGAACTCTGGACCCTGAAGTTAGCTGCCCAGTGTGAAACCAGTATACCAACGGGGTTCCTGAAGGAATGAGAGCAGGAAGTGGCATAGGAGCAGAAGCCCTGGTGGCTCTGTGGGTTAGGCGCTGGGCTGCGAATCACAAGGTCGGGGGTTCAAAGCCACTCTACGGGAGAAAGATGAGGCTATCTGCTCCCTAACCATCGTCTCAGAAATCCAAAGGCACAGTTCTACCCTGTCCTATAGGGTCGCTGTGAGTCAGAATGAACTAATACAGGCTGTGGATTGGGTTTGGGGTCTTGGGTTTAGAATCACCTTCTGGTGGTGTAGGGTGGGTTATGGTTTGGGGTATGGGGGCGGGGGGCAGCCTGCTCTTGAGGGTCCCAGCAAAAGGGGTCTGAGACCCCCTCCCCCCTTTTTTGTTCACGCCTCTCCTAGGAGATGCCAGTCCCAGCACATCCGAGGCAACAGTGGGTGCTCGGGCCGCCGTGCCGCGCTCCTTCTCTGCGCCCTACCCGACGGGCTCCGAGGCCTGCTCCTCGGCGGAGCGGCGGGCGCGCGC